GAAGCAAATATTAGAGGAAGATGTGTCTACCCAGTGTCATCGGTGATATTCCCAATCATGACGGACTGGGTCAGATGGTATGCTGTGCGATGTGAGAAGATGAAAATACATTGGAAGGCCAAACATAACCTATTAGATTAGGGCTTCACAGAAGATCGATATCACACTTTGGACAAACTTGGATTTTTTCAATCGAAAACCGAAACGTTGTGAGAATAGACAGAGACGGCAGGATATTAGTGTATACAGAGAGGTCAGAGGAGGTGATAAATATACCAGACCCACAGTAATAGATATTTACCCCTATCATTAGGAGAAGTACAGGGAAAGTCGACTGTTTTGTTACCACTTACCTGGTTAGTCAGCTCCATCCTTGTCACAGGCAGCCAGCGCGGAATAAAACGCCAAATCCAGTCATGATCAGGTTGTGAAAGAAAACAGGGTTTATTACTCTGAGAACCACTGTGTATATCTATAGCACTCATCATTACGAATAGGATTCCAATTTCTAACATAGACATCAACGTCAGTGCTCCAATATAATTAAGACACTCGACGCACTCAAACACTTCAAAGTTTCGTTAGCAGCTGCCTCCGGTGTTAACGAGGTTCTGTGATACTTTCAGTGATAATTGACGCGGTGTTATTAACCGTTCGGTATTTCAGTTAAGTATATAAAGGCGTATTTTAAATTGTTTTTATCGCTTGAAGACTCCAGAAACTAAGCAGGTTTCCCGCGAAAAGTCCCTACGATCTATTGAAATGTGATCGACACATCACCCAGTAAATAATACTTTTCCAATGTGGAATATATCTAATAAACAAGTTAATATAACATAAAGATGCTCTTCTGAAGTCATATGTTCCATTCGGAAGCACAAACAATGGTAATGATAATAAGAGTAATGATAACAAAGATTAGCTACTTGGAGTACATCACACACTTCCCTGAGTGTTTGTGGTGTCAGATGGAAAATCATGAACTCAAGTGCAATATTATAAAACCTGCCGATTTCACACGACTGAAGGAGCACCTGTCTGCTGAGTTCAGGATCCATATTCTACACATTGTGTGATTGGTGAATCTGCGTTAACATTATTACAAAAAAAACTCAAAATTATGATACTCATGAGACGTAAGTCCAGTACAGGCGATCAGTTTATGGTAAGGCGTCACAACAGACATATACACGATTGACAATACTGTTGAAATATAAGTCCACCGTATTTCACCTGTGTTCTTTATTGTAAAATTAATTATAGAGAAAAATGTTGGAACGTCAGAAATTCCGATTATGACAACACTTCAGTGGAATTATCTATAAAGTTTCTTTCATTGGGCAGTGTAACTGTTCACAATGAAATATTGTGACTATTAATCATAATGACGAGCCGAGGAATATGGAATCTCACTTCATACAATGTCTTCGGATAATAGTTGTGTCTGTTAATGACCAGTGTTTTAGCCTGAATCTGTGCCTCAGTGAGCTTAGAATGTTACGTATCTCACAACGTTTGAATCCTTTGATTTTCTCTAGTCACGGGGTGGTATTGAACTTTACGTTACCAACACTTCTAAACAACAACACAATCAATATTTCACTGAAGGAAAAATGACGTGTAACTCACCAGAGTTGCTGCAAAACACAAACATATGGCGGCGAGAATTCTCGTGTATGCCTGGAGTGCAAACAGTATAACAGAATCTTTGATAAGTGAAGTGGAAAGATTTTTTGTGTGATGAACCAATGTTAAAAGTGAAGGGAATTGAAGTAAATTCTGATTATTGGTAATTCATTTCGCGTAATTAGGTATTGAGAAAATACGACCTCGCCCTTCAATTATGATAATAAAAAAGTGGTCATTTTTACACCTACTCCTTCTCTTTTAAATAACTCAGTGGAACTGAGAAAGGTAGGATGATTAGACAGACTGAATGTATCGGTTATTGAAAATGTGGGATAATCCGAGAGAAGTTTCAGATGTGAGCCAATGAAATCTTGATGTTGTGTGAATGATTCATTCTGAATGTTAATAATGAAGAGAGTATGTGTACTTTGTGCTGGCGAAAGCTGTATAAACATATTGGTTACTTCCGATACGCCCATTTCTCTTATTTAGTCTACTAATGAATAAAACGATATTTGTGATTATAATCATAGTTAAGTTTCAAGTGGTGAAACAATTAATGTCATATATAGAATAAAACATATGGTGTATAGATGTTGGAAATGGGTGCATAATTATAGGATGAAAAGGCGAATATAACATGTTACATAACGCGGTGTGAAATTTGATAAGGCAGACCTCAATTTCGTAAAAAAGAAATTTTTGAATTTAGAATGACAATGGGATAAATGGAAACAATTCACAGTTAGAATAGTAATAATAATATTAATCGGAGTAGTAAGGGAAAGGTACATATGATAACTAAATAAATATAATACATAAATAAATAAATGTCTATCCGTCTACGGCCAGAGCAGGAGTAGGGATTGTGCATATATTCACCTCCTTATCCTATAATTATTCACCCATTTCCAACACCTATACACCTTATGTATTATTCTATATATGACAATAATTGTTACGCCACTTGACATTTAACTATGATTATAATCACAAATATTTCAATTGCATTTCATGGTGTTGTTATTTCATGTGGTCACACTTTTGATCTAATTTCCTCGCCGGATATAATATTTTGAAAACGAATATGTTTGCAGGATGAAACAAGCTTATTTTATACGAGTGGTTATTGTTCAGCTACAAACACCCTGAACTGGAACATTAATCTAAGCGTAAGTGTAGAAGGCGCTTCAAATCTGTTGTAACTGAGAGGTTACTCAACTAATCTTGCCATCATAATGAAACAGAATGAAATGGATTAAAGTCATTAAGTAACTGAGCAAATGGTCAGAGTTAATTTATAGATAAAATGGTGGAAACTTCTAGAGGAGACAGTGGCAGTGAAAATATGTGTTCAGGCAGGAATCTGCTCCCATCGGAATCTGTTTGTTATTTCCGAAGACTTCATCATTATTACTTCCTGTACATGAAGTTGTCTCTTTTCCGAACAGCTTTCAATCGGATTCCATTTGCAATCAATGGAGCAAAAACTTGATAATCGACCCATCAGATATACTTCTCCATAAACATTTGATTCAAATATGTGATCAGTTCCTCGGTTTACACATTTATCCAGAAATTTGAACTGGTTGCATAGATAATCTATTTTAATCTATTATCTATTTTTAAGTGGGCGACCTCCATTTTGCTCCAAAGATAATACATGCATTGTACATATTTAAGCAATGTGACAAATGCATTATTAACATACTCGCAGTGATATATGGCCATCTACACTCCTGGAATAATGTCCGCAAAAACTAGATCTCTGAATTTCGTTTCTGCTCACTATTTCGCCAAGAAGTTCACATAATTTTGATTTTCCCTCACTAATATCGACTCAATATGGATACTTCAGATTATCTAATTGCCTGTTCATTCACATAATAATTTTACATTTTCAGGTATTAGTTTTGTAAGGATGAAAAACCTGTCCGGTACTCTCAGGTTTTCCAGTGGTGCCCTAACTGAAATAAGGGAATAATGGTATTTATATTCTAGAGAATGTATCAATTACTACTCACTCTATCTCGAAAGTAAAGCAGAATGAATCCCGAAAAGGCGAGTACAGATGCTATCGTCGAGAATATGAATAATCCCTTTGCTGTCAAATTACTCAACTTCCAACAGAGATCAATTACGATTCCTGAGATCACTGCTGTTATCACGAATGATATAAGTCATTGTACAATAATCGAACACCAGCACACAATGAAATGAACTGGGTAGAGAAAAAAGTGAAATTGAAAAAATATAATTTTATCATTCTCATTTTACAAAGGAAGAAGATTAGAAAATCAAGGAAGAAGAGGATTCCTGTTTGACTTCACAATTTACTAAAACACTAGATGTAACAAGTAGTGATGTGGATTACTTCGCGATCTGATGCCTTAAAGAGAATTAATGTTAACCACGACTCACTGGTGAACAGTCTCAAACGGCAGTCAGTTTGATTTTCAATAATTCTGTCACTGATAACGGTTAGCTACCGATAAACAGGAAAAAATCCTTACAAAATTCGGGACATGATAAGAACGACACTGTTTCAGTAATTCAGTATATCCCGGTCCCAAACGAATATGTTGAATTTCTTTGAAATATTTCATGTGTGCCGGAGCCTTCTTCTTTCACTATGATTAGGTAATAATCAAGTAATCAAGAGCCTGATCAATTTGCTTTGTATACTTCCTAGTGAGAGAGGAGTTCTACTCAGTGTCAGACCCACAGAACCTGAGAACATTTTCTTGATAAACGGAATCCGCATAGATTATACTAGTGAAGTGTGGAAGTGTAACATTACACTGTCATATACTGTAAAATAGTGAGTTCAGCTCCGTTCAGGTGAACACGACTCTAGGAAGATAGGTGTGAGTTCTTCTCCTCATTAGAAAATTTGCTCCATTGCAAAAGTGAACATCCCAGATGTGTGTCACATTTTGGTGTACTTGACATGCGAAGAATCAATTCACTACTCGAATTAAAAATGAACGGATAATTCTTACGGAAATAGATATTGCAGGAAGTTCTTGACGTAGATTATTGATGTAAAATATCGTAGCATAAATCATGTCAAATATAATTGAAATATTTGTAGTCAGTTTTTCATAAGCCTGATGAATCAGAAATATAACAATATCCAGTCCATTCAACATTTAACACACAGCGTACATCATCTTGTTCGTCTATTTCCACTCACAATTCAACTTACCGATACTGACAATAAAATATAGTTTAGTGGATAAATGGTTCTCAGCTTCTCACATAGCAGTAAAGCACCATATATGATGATACCAAATATTCTGAAACAAGAGCAAAAAAGAGGCACATCAGAAGTGGCCTGTTCATTAGATATACACGATGTGTGTGAATGGTACAGAAACGTGTTTAATACCACCAGGATCATATCGATGGTAAACAGTTATAATTTCCAGTAAACAGAGTGCTCAATCATAGTGAAATTTATGGAATGCGACATCAGTAATTGAGGCATGTTAGAAATCGTGGAGGTATATTGCAGTATTGGCACATGATTCTGTGGGCTTAAAAATGAAACTTACAGAGCAATACAGGCATAAATGTTGTACCTAGATAATAAACAAAAGTTATTACGAAACACGTTGTGTGTATTACCCACCATGTACTAAACATGGTTTTTTTAAATATGAGAACAACAATATTATGGACTTTGTGAAGACCGAGTAGCGTGCAGGAACAGTATGAAGTGATAGGAAATGTTGTTGTTATTTGAGAATTGAAAACTGCAAACGACGAACCCCAGGCGTTAAATATTTATTTGTTGGTTACCTTCATTTCTTACTTAATGACTGGAGTTAAAACTTTTCTACGAATAATTTCAAAGGTGATTACAAGAATATTTATATTACATCTGCTCATATAAACCAATGCAAAGTCTTGACTATAAAAACTAAACAATAGCATGATAAAAATGTGTCATTAAAATTATTATCATGTCCAAAGTACAATAATAACCAAATCAAGTATGTCTTTGAAATAATATCTTCATTATAGATAATATTTTATTTTGATTAATCACACAGTGTTATACAGTGATATATTGACTGATGATGTTTCGAGTGCAAATTATTGCTCATTATCATATCGTCACTCGCACAGCTTCATCTATATACATGAGTAAAGTTGATTAGACATTTGGATAAAAATCAAGATAATGTTCACTCAGAAATAATATTAGTCTTATCAATCAAATACAATCAGATGGGAAATAAGATGTGTTTATAGTAAAAATCAATAGCTTGTTAGAATATTATAAGGTACGTGAATTGAAATAGAATTTTAAGATTATTAATTATCTTCCTCTGATATGACCGGTAAGAATATCTTCTTCTACTTTCAGGTAATTTGCAGCTGATGAGAACCTGTGAAATAGAATGAGATGAATTTATACTGCAAATCTCTTCTTTCTTTCCCTATCGAAATAATTTCTTCATTATAGATAATATTTTATTTTTATAAATCACACAGTGTTATACAGTAACATTAAACATCAAAATAAAATGTGATCTATAATGGAGTTTTAGCCTATGACAGTGCTCAAGTCTTATACTTATACTAATAATGTCTTCCATATCTCTGCTATTCGCGTTAAGTTAATTGTATTCCATGTGTTGGGTGCAAACTCGATGAACCAGGTTTCAGTAATCGGTCTATTTCTCCATCTACCTATATTACTTCTTAGAATTTTAATTCTATCCCACCCTATTGTACGGTTGTGTGTTAATGCTTGCAGTGCGATTTCTGAGTTCTTTTCAAAATTAATTACCTTCGCTGTATCAATCATTCTGACGTTAGCCACTAAATTCTTATGTTCTGACAATCTCACTACTCACGAACTTCTAGTTTGACCTATGTAGCTAACTTAACCCACAGTCATTGAAAGGTATTTTGTAGATACCGTAGATTTGAATGCCAACCTAATGCCTGTTAATTTAGAATTCAACGTGCAAAAAGAGTCTCAGACGTCGCATCCTTATACAGTAAAGTGCTGCAGATGTCTTATATAAATTATGTTATCATTATTAGTCTCGCCAGTATCTTTATTTCGTACAATTGGTTACCTTGATAAATTTCGATAAAGAAAGGAAGACGAAATTTGAAGAATGAAATGATATCATTCCATTTCACAGTGCTTCATCAGCTGCGGACTACCTGAAATTACATTGGTTGTATAGATGATAATAGGAAACTTTAACGTTTGAATGGTAGTAGAGAAGAGATACTATAAATTGACTCATCCAAAATGAAAGCATTACAATACTTAGTTTAAGTTTTCATCATCAATTATTACGTTTCTGAAGTTGAAAATAGTAGGAAGGAAAGGAGAAACATAAAAAAATAATAATATTATTTTGTTTAAATGGGTCTATCGGGTCATTAAGTCTATACAGCTTATCAATGCGTGAGTTCGTAGGTTTGAATGCCACACCCATTGCTGCTTTATTCAGAATCCTACGTAGGTAGGGCCTCAGATGACGAAACTATTATGGTGAAATTACGTAGATTCCTTATATTCTTTATCTTATGATTATAAACACAAAAGAGTGCGAAAAAGTAAGACAGAAAACAGAAAAATAATCAACAGAAGAATGTTAGCTTGTAGGTTAGGTTCACATAGCAACTCAAAAAACAAAAGCGGTCACAGTTTATGAGATTAAGATTTGTTCAGTGAGTTGAGATCACTGAATTAGATGACTAATCGAAATCAAAATTCTGTTATCAAGGGAAGGTGAGGTAAGTCACACACTCTTTCTGTATGCATAAGTCTGGTTTAAGTCGTTTGATTGCGATTGCTTCGGCAAATTGTAGTAAGTTCGCTGTCCTTTGTCTATTTAATATTTTGAAGGACTTAGAAATCTCTACGAGATATTCGGTATCAACAGAATGTCTGGTATTTGCACTCTGAGACTATTTGCTTCCTTTCAGGCACAGGCTTTTGGGAATATGTTCAGAAAACCGGATAGAAGCCCTTCTTTCTGTCCTTCCAATGTACTTGCTCCCGCAAGTGCACGTGAATTCATAAACGCAGTTGGAGGTGACATCAGCAGGGTATTTATCCAATTTTGAGTGGTTTGTAGAAAGGGTGGTGCTGTATACTGTTATGAGTTTTGCTGCCGGGATGCTTCTATTTATTGCACCTTTCAATCTTTGTCAATCGTTTGTGACAATGCGTCTTTTATGAATGGGAGAGAAACAAGTGCTTTTTTCTTTTCTACAGTTGGGTGTTTTTTTTCATATCTTCTTCTCTGCTGTACTTTTATATAAATCCGTTAGGTTATCCATTTTCCCTTAGGCATTTCTCGACGAAAACGAATTCTTCTTCTACCCTGTTTGGTGAACATAGCTTCCTGGCTCTGTCATACAAAGTCCTCACAAATCCACCTTAATAGCTTATCGGACAAAAGTTGTTATAGTGAAGATATTGTCCAGTCCAGGTTTCTTTTCTATAGATGGACTTTTCGATCATGCCTTCGCGTGTTCATTCTACATTTAGATCCAGGAAATTGAAATCATTATTATGTTCATATTCCATGGTGAATTTGATATTTTGATGTATCTCATTAAGGCGATATTCATTGGTCATGTTATTCAGTGATCTCAACTCACTGAACAAATCTTAATCTCATAAACTGTGACCGCTTTTGTTTCTTGAGTTGCTATGTGAACCTGCAAACTAACACTGCTATGTTAATTAATTTTTCTGTTTTCTGTCTTACCTCTGCAACTTTCGTTCAACTTTAAAAGCGTATAAATTGGTGATGAAAACTTACACTGAACATTGTACTGCATTCATTTTGGATGCGTCAGATTTATAGTAGCTCTTCTCTACGACCACTCAAACATTAAAGTATGTTATTATCATCTATATAACCATTGTAATTTCAGGTAGTCCGCAGCTGATGAGAACCTGTGAAATAGAATGATATCATTTTATACTGCAAATTTCGTCTTCCTTTCTTTATCGAAATTTATCAAGGGAACCACCTGTATGAATTTTTATTTTTATTATGGCATTTTCTTATCTTCCTTATGAATATTATAAAATAGTTTTTTATTTCCCACTAACATTTCCTGTTTCTGTTTCATTCCATCATAGAAGTGTTTTGTTGTGCTACTTATTTTGATACACTTTACTAAGCTTCACAGACAGCTTTACTGACAACGGATGAGATGAATCAAAGTCAAAATATCTATTTGAATGCGTTGGCTTTTTGTAATCTCTAGTTTGCAGTTTACCTACTTCTATTCGCTTTATTTTACAATCTAACATAGCTTATCCTTCTTGTTCATTTTCCGATTCAAATGTGAATTTTATTCCCTCGCCTAGTGAATTTATCTATGTGAAGAAACTAGAGGTATGTTCTGTTTTTAACACCTGGAAAGTGTCATCCACACATCTCCACCATATTTTTGGAGTAGGATTAAGTATATTAATAGCCATATGTTCCCAGCTTTCCATAAAGATATCTACTATGATATAAGATTTTAAAATAAGATTACTGGGTGTCACTAGTTGTAAATACTGATAGGGCACGTCGGTTAACGTAGGTTCAAGGTTGGCGATTCTGTTGGAAGGTATGTTCAATAGGAGTAAAACATAACAATATCATTAAATAGACTAGTTCCTTTGATATATTTGAATAAGGCATTAAGAAGACAAATTTCGCGAGATGGTATCAGCGTGAAAGATTAAGGCTTTATCACAACTGCACAAATAATAAACTTTATCCTATATCATTTTACAAATCACTACGTCGAAATAAGTCAAAATCTTCACTCTCTAACCTTCAGCATCTAGCTGAATTAGAAATTGATGAAATTACTGACAAACTTTCGAAATTTATTGAAACACACCAAAGACTAATTCGCGTAATGGGTAATTTATCTGTATTATGTCGAATCAAATTCACTGTATTTGGCAATGATATGGTGAAAAAGACCATAATTTCCACTGAGCAAAAATTAACAAAACTTTTAAGGACATGAATCATATTTTAGAGTTTCCTTAGGATATCTACAAGCATATAATTAATTCATCTACCTGCACTCTATCCCAACTACAGTTGGAAGCATTATCTTATGGATTGAAGTACAAGACTATTCCCATGGAAATAAACAAAATGGCAGTCCAGTCACAGTATGAAAACCTCTATGAGCAAATCTTTGATTTAACTACTTCTAGTAAAGATAATCTGGACTGGTTTAAAGTCAAACTGGTGGATATTTCTCATCAATTTCTACACGCTAGAATACACTAGAAAATTGGTTTACCAAAAGAATACCACGTCGAACTTAAGGAATTAATCGAAAAAGATCATCTTGTTATCCTTAAACCTGATAAGGGAGAAGACGTTGTCATTATGAACAAATCGGATTATCAAAATAAAATGAATGATATCCTCAAAGATCAGTCCGAATTTCTGGTGGACAAGGCTACTGATAATGTGCTGTTTGTGGAAAAGCAGATCAATCGTCAGCTCCAGATTTTACTGATGCATGGTTTTATGAATGAAAAACTTTATAAACAACTTAAAGCAATTGGGTCACATACTCCTCAGCTTTATGACCTTCCGAAGATCCTCAAAACTGAGAACCCACTGAGACCCATCTTAGACATGTCAAATTCTCCTTACCATAAAATCGACAAATGAATTACAAAGGTCTTTACGCCTGTAAGAGACTCATTTTCAAATCATTCTGTAAAACGTTCATTTGATCTTACAGAAATGCTAGACACCTTGAACAATAAGAAAGAGGTTATGTGTTCAATTGACATGGAATCTTCATTCGCCAATGTTCCCCTTCATGAAACTGTTAATTTTAATGTGTTCGAAAAAAATAAGACTCGCCTTTCAAGAAAAAGCACACAAACAAATCGATGGTGTTGCAATGGAGAGCCCTCTGGGACCCCTGTTAGCAGATATATATTCATGTCGAAATTAGAGAAACAAATGCAAGGTATGCTTGGAGAATTTATGCTGTATAAACGTTATGTAGATGACACTCTTATTATTGGTAATAATGGTAAATCTATTGAAAACTTTATTACTCTATTTAATCATATTCATCCAAATATTCGAGTGACTTCCGAACTAGAATCCAATAACAAACTCGGTTTCCTGGATATTACTATGACAAGGAGAGATGATGGAACAATTCAGCAATCTATTTTTCTTAAACAGACATGGAGTGGACAATATCTTCATTTTACCAGTTTTGCGCTTATCCAGTAAAAACGTTCTTTAGTGAAATGTTTGTTCTCAAGGGTCCGAAAAATATGTACGAGTGACACATTGATGGATGGGTTACGACATATACATTCAGTTTTATTAGCTAATGGTTATCCGAAAAGTTTTATCACTTGTCACAGTAAAGAAAGACCACATCTAGTGTGGTGAGAGCAGGCTGCTAGCCGATTGGTTGGCACTAATCTACGTTAAGGTCTAGGTCACTAATATGGGCCGTGAACAAGGCTGAGTCAACAACCAATCACAGCGAAGTTAACGTGGCAAAATATGATTCGCAGATAGAGAACTCTGTTTGTCAAGGAATCCCGAAACAACCAATCAGAATCCTGCGTTTGTCTACCTAAACAACCAATCAGATGACTGCGCTTGTCTATAATAATGTTGTCTGAAATATGTATAAATACGTGTTGATTTTCATAATAAAACGATCTGTTGCCTGGCCCTTGTCTTCTGTTGTTACATTTGGTGTCGCTGCCTACCGACAAATGGAAAGCCTATACCCTGCTGTTTTTGATGGAGACATATGGATCTTCGGGCAGGACTTCAAGGCTTCTGCGCAGTTGAGTGGCGTTCAAGATCTGTCAGCGATGGAGCTGCTACTTGGGACGCTGCTGGGAGGTCGGGTGAAAGCAGCATATGAAAGTGTGAGCCGAAGTATGGACGAATGTTCGACAGGGTCAGGCAAACAGTTTCCAAAGTGGGAAGGACCATATATGGTCACTTCGAGATGGGGTTACGCAGACACAGTCGCAATGGCGAACAATGAGAGGCGCGTGAACGTCAGCGAGCTCCAGAAATGGATACAGCGAGACAAGCCAACGATGACGCCTGCACCAAGTAGATCAAGCCGACTTCAGTCGCACGTATTTGACGGGGGACGAGTGTGGTGAGAGCAGGCTGCTAGCCGATTGGTTGGCACTAATCTACGTTAAGGTCTAGGTCACTAATATGGGCCGTGAACAAGGCTGAGTCAACAACCAATCACAGCGAAGTTAACGTGGCAAAATATGATTCGCAGATAGAGAACTCTGTTTGTCAAGGAATCCCGAAACAACCAATCAGAAGCCTGCGTTTGTCTACCTAAACAACCAATCAGATGACTGCGCTTGTCTATAATAATGTTGTCTATCGTTATTAACCTACCATTCAAGGGCGACCAGATTATGCAGTTGACAGCTAGCTCAAAGACTGTGGTCAGTCATCAAACGCACATTCTACGCCGAATCTCTTTTTCTCACTTGCTGAACATTTTCGATCGCTGTACCTACGAATAAAAGATGAAGTTCTCTGGACTCTACCGGAAAATTATCTACAAGTTCACCTGCAGCTGCGGTGACACCTATATAGGTAGAATCAACAGAATGTTCCAATGTCTTCGAAGAGAACATGTTCCAAAATGGCCAGTAAATCATATTGAAAATCCAAATGCGGTTAATCTGAATAGAAATCTAGCATCATCCATTGCAAAACACTTATTAATGTCAAGTCACAAAATCAGTATTAATGACTGTTTCACAAGTATTTCAATGTTATTGAAGCCCTCTGGATTATTCACATACAGCCTAAACCGTGTGTACAAAAATCGATAGACTTCAATCTTAGCCTACCATGGACAACATGACCTATCTAAATATGATTGGTCATTAGTATGTACTTTTGTTTTTATTTAACTGAGTAATTGTCATGAATTTTTATTTTATTATTGTTAACAATGTTAGTAGTAAAGCGGTTGTAAAGAGAATCTACGAAATGATATCACCTCGCGAAATTGGTCTTCTAAACGCCTTATTCAAATTTATCAAAGCGACTTTTTGTTTTCACAGTAAGGGTTAGTTTTGTTTTTAGGAGCTGATCACAAATTAGATGATTATTTCTTTTTGTTTCCAGTAGAATACCCCTTTTAAAGGCTTCACTTCGACATGATAAAGCCTGGGAGTACTGGACAGCTGCTTTAAATCTACCAATATCAATTTGCTTGTTAAGAAATATCGTCTCAAGGGATTCAATATTTCAATCCACCATTCCACTTGTGTAAATTCACTTACTTATTTCAACGACCTCTTCTGGTTTCTTATCAACAACAGTGATGCAGTATCAGTATTAAACTGCAGAAGTGAATCCTGTCTCTTGATTCCGACTGGTGAGTATCGCTAACACATAACTGAACTTATAGCTTTTACTGATAGTGTGACTTTTAACTCCCTACTTGCACATACTTGAAGACGATAAACAACGAAATTGAATCAATCATCCTGCACAGTGGTAATGAATCAATTTGTCAGTCTCTGGTTGAGAACACGCTTAACAGAAATTTCATCAGCTTCAACATGAGCTTGTGTTTTCAGGGAATGTGAACTTTTTGGTTCAAAAGGATTTCGTTGTCAGTCACTATGATAATGGATGGATCTGTAGTCTATTTATTTAATCATTTATTCAAACGGATGTTGACATTTGTGACACTAACTGTCGAAATAATCATTCTGTGTATGGAGTTTTATAAACTTTTAAATGGAAGAAAGAGTTAGTGAGACAGCATGGAAAATCTTGAAATACAGGTATAAAGTAAAGAGATGAATATCGATTAACCACAAAAGTCGATACCTCCGTTACCTCATCAAAACATGCCTACACCCGAATCAACCGGACATATCTCAAAGGCCAAAAGGAAATCCATTCTGTCGGAAGTGAAGAATAGTGACCAGAATATTGAAACCAATCGGAATATATACAGATCTCAAACCGAAACAACCGGTTTACTCAATACTTTACAGAAAAACACAGAAAACATTGAGAGAACACGGGTGAAATTCAATCTACAAGAACTAATATTCTGATTAGCAGTGTGTTTTATTGATAGAATTGGTAATCATAACGAAACCACTCCGTGTGATTGTTGAAACTGTGAAATGAAACGGTGGGTGGATGAGTTGATAACTATTTGTCAGAAATGTTTGACTAATCGACACGTCGCACAATATTCAAGTGTGTTGTAGTTCGACACGGACGTAATGACAGATGGCACAAATTCCACTAGCTTCGACTGATCACGTCTACGTTTTGCTTAAACATACTAATAATAAGCGATATTCATCTAACGCTCTTAAGAAACTTTAAACCACATCTAAACTATTGCATGCATATTACGAATTTATTTTTCTGCCAGTACGTTGCTGTAGATTAGTGCGAAGGCATTAATACAAACTTCTCCATTCTTCATCCAAACATTACAAGTGGTCAGGGTGTTACGGTATTAGCTGTTACATTTATACCATCATATTTCAGTCGTCGCTTTTTCGTTAAACTACTATCTTCATGCTGAGCTTCTGCTGATTAGAGTAGAAAAGGTGTGAACGTATTCCATTAATGCTTTATCAACATAAGAATAATATGTTAACATGCACAGGAATAAATGATGTATTAGAGAAAATGTAGATTTATATCACATGTTTAAGGAATTCACAAGATGAATACAAAGTATACACTCTGCATAAAGACTTCCTTTCCTTCTCAAGCGAAGCAAATTGATATTGCTGCGAATATTGAAATAACCGCTACGTATATATCTAAAAGGTCCAACATCTTCTGGAACATGGATGTTGTTTTCCGAAAACGTTTTCTGAGTCCACAAACCACGCAAACAAAATCTAAAAATAAGCAAGATATATCAATTAGAATTGAATTTGTTATGTTTAAATTCAGTAGAAAATCAGAGATATTGTTTAGCGTCACTATCTAATGGTAAGATGAGCATATCAGGCGTAGTACGCAACATGATCTACGAAACCCCAATGGAAGAATATTTAAGGTAAAGCTGAGTACCACGCAAAAGACACTGAACAGTGATGGTAAAGAAGTGTTCTACAAAAGGCGAAACGGCCTTTCACAGCACACTGTCGGATGTAGCAGAACAAACTGCAAATATGAGATAATCAGATCTGCATCATTGGGAGAGATTGATGGAGATGCAACCAGTGGGAGGTATTGGGTGAAAGGACATTCTCAAATACATGGAATAGAGGAGATGTTGGCTAGATCAGTTGAAAGAACTGTTGCATTTACTACCACCTACAACTTGCGAAGAAACGAAACTGTTAGTGAATGCCAACCCATCGATGAAAACAGGAGTCTTGGAGATAGTAATGTCACTAAAGGCCAGTAAAATAACATGGCTGGATAAATATCCCTGTTGGCACTGTGAACGAAGCTGCAGATCTCAAATAGACATGATCACGTCACTGAGTGAGGAAATGTTAGGTAAATAGAATGTTCTTTGTCAAAGCAGCAAACAAGGTGTTATATTATTTTTATTGTTCTCTTGGGTTTCTTAGTGGAATATAGGCTTCAACTGCACGTCTCCACTTGCCACTTCTGTCTTCTGCTGTACTCTTCACCTGAGTGCATGCTAGTACATACTGTTTCAACACCTCTTCACACGATCTCCTCCATGTCACCATTCGACGTCCCACTCGCCGCTTCCATTTTAGGTTCCACATGAGAAATGGCCTGACACGCACGCGATGTCACCCAGCAGCCTCTCCAGCGAGTATCCAATCCATCTCCACTTTCTCCTGCATATTTTTGGGCGGCGATTGGTTCTTGTTTTGTTTGTTCCTTCCCATAGTTTCTTGTTGGTGATTCTTTCCGGCCCGGCCGGCCATCTGATCTTCATTATAGACCGAAGACAGTTGTTGGTTGATAAATGTCTCCAACAGGCTGTTGGAAATATTCTTTGTGACCCGCCCGCCAAGTTTCTGATCCGTATAGAAGAACTGACTGACTTGACGTTTGTATTGAAAATCCGACCGAATTTTGTTGTTGATGCTGGCTGAGTGACGAAGATTTCCAGATTGGTTTTAGGTTGATGAATGTGTTTCTCGCCTTCCGGATTCTCCATTTGACATCCTAGTCGGTTCCAAATGCCTGTAGTTGAGACAATGCTCTCTAGATAAGTGAATGAAGTGACCTCTCTCGAATCCCTCCCGTTGATGAGGATTGACGTTGGATGTTGCTGTTGTTGGTTGGTTAATTTCATAACCTCCATCTTGTCTATGTTCACATGGAGTCCTATCCTCTCTGGCTGCTTCTTCGACCAGTTTTTCGGTTTTCGCTTGTAAGTCTTCGATTTTGTGTGACATCAAACATAAATCATCCACGCGCGAAATCCAGGTCTTCTAGGTTCTTTACGTCAGTCCAGGATATCCCTGTCTGCTCGTTTCCCACTGTCTGACGCATAATCCAGTCCACCACCATTAGGAATATCATTGATGATAATAAACCAGCACCCTTGTCTGACTCCTGTGTTTACTCCAAACGCCTCACTGAGTTTTCAGTTGTGGGTCACTTAAATGTGCCACCGTTGTCGTACAGCTGTTGAATAAGGTTGTTGAATATTTGGGTACGCCGTAGTACTCGAGTAATTTTCAAATTACTTCGCAGTCAACGCTGTCTGTTGAAGGCCTTCTCAAAGTCTATAAAGTTGAGGTGGAGGTTTGATTGCCATTCCATGCTTTGTTCTGTGATGAGGATGCGTAGAGTTGCAATTTGATCAGTACATGATTCGCCTTTCCTGAATCCAGCATGTTCTGCTCGGAGTTCTGCATCCAGTTTGTCCTTTATTCTCTCCAGGATGATGCGACTCAGGATTTTACTTAACGTCAACAGCAGTATGATTCCTCGCCAGTTCTTCCGGAGTCCTGAGTTGCGCTTCTTTGGTAGTTTCGCGAGGTAACTTTTCCTCCAGTCAGTAGGCACCTCTCCTCCTTCCAGACCTTTTGCAATAACGGAATCAGCATATCTGCTGTCGTCTCTGGGTTCACTTTTAGTGCTTCGGGGGTATTACATCTGGTCCAGCTGCTTTTCCAGCTTTCAGAAGCTTGATTGCATTCAAGACTTCAGCTCTCGTTGGAGGATTGGTGTCGACTTGTAGTTGTGCACGTGCTGTTGTTGGTATTTTGGACGTGTCACAGGTTTGGTCGGTTCAAGAGTCCTTCGAAGTGATCCGCCCATTGTTTAATTTGTCTTGGTACTTGTTTTCCCTCGGCTGCCTTTTATAGGTGTCGCTTGTGTTGATCTCTTCTCGGATGGAGATTTGGTTATCTGATATAATGTCCTCAGGTCCCTTTTGCCTGCTGCTTTCTCAGCTTCAGTGGCGAGGTTGTCGTAGAATCGTCTTTTGTCCTACCTAGCACACTTCTTCACTTGTTTGTCCAGTGCTGTGTACGTTGAGCTAAGCATCCCTTTCTCTTGTCCGTCTTTTCATTGAATCATTTTCTCTTTCACCATTCTCCTCTCCTCTACTAGCTTCCAAGTGTCCATTGAGAGCCATTCCTTGTCTTGTCTCTTCTTTCTTCCTAGAACCGCTGAACACGTTTAGTTGAAAATCACCTTCAGAGAGTTCCAATGGTCTTCCACGCATTATTCTCCCGTGATATCGCGTAGTGTTTCCTGCTTTGCTCTGACAGTTGCAGTGAAGGTGTCTTTTGTGGTTGTATCCTTCAGTAATTGAGTGTTGAACTTGCATTGTGGCCTATCCGCAGCTATCCTCGAGGCTTTTAGTTTCACCTTGAAAGTCCCTTGTACTAGATAGTGGTCTGAACTCACATTTGCTCCTCTCCTCGAGCTTGTGTCCAGTAGGCTCCGTCTCCACTTTCTTGAAATTGAGATGAAGTCTATTTGGTTCTTGGTGTTTCCATTTGGTGAAATCCATGTCGTCTTGTGTATTTACTTGTGTTTGAAAACGCTGCCACCAATCACCAAATCATTGAAGGCGCAGAAGTCTGAGAAGAGTTCACCAGTGTCGTTCATTTCACTGACGGCCTCTCGACCCATGGTGAGTTCTCTTCCTGTGTTGTCTCGTCCCAGCTTCGCATTCATGTCGCCCATCAGGATTTTGATGTCGCCATTTGGGACGTTGTCCATTATTGCTTGTAGTTGTCTGTAGAAATCCTCCTTCGTCTCTTGTTCTGAGACGTTTGTAGGAGCATAGCATTGAATGACTGTAACCCTCCTTCCTTTTGAGTTGAACCTGGCTGTCGTTATCCTGGAGGAGATTGGTTCCCACTGCAGGTGAGCTTTGGCTGCTGTTGGTGACATCATGATGGCCACTCCCTCGGTGTGCTCGTGGTTGTCCTCTGGGTGGCCGGAATAGATTATTGTCTCTCCAGTTGGTAGTTGACACCTTCCATTTCCGTTCCACCTCATCTTGCAGATTCCCAACAGTTCTATTCTTTACCTCCTCATTTCAGCGGCTATCTGGGCAGCCTTTTCAGTTTCGTACACTTTACGAACATTCCAGGTCCCCATCCTTATTTTTCTTTTATCGAAAGGAGGCACATCGACTACTGGCTTCTCGAAGGCTTTCACCAGCCTGTGTCATTTCACTTCCTTGATTCCAGCGAAAAAATAAGGTTACTGTTTAAAATTTTAGAATTTTTAATATATCTGTGCATTGAAGTTTCTGTAGCGGTTTGGTTAAGTTTTGGAGTTGGAGTTGCTAGCACCACGCCCCAACCCTCCCTCTTTATCCGGGCTTGGGATCGGCTAGAAAACTAGCAAGATAGTGGTCTAGGCGAGGTTTAAACAGGGGTGATTTAAAGCCAAAACATATCTGGCGTGGAAGCATGCTCATATTAACTACTATATTAAGCTGCATTATTCTGCGTAAAACATTTTCAGTGGAACATCCTGGATTCAGAAAATCAGTCGATCTGTGGATCCGATTGCAACATATTGCATCATCAACACAAAGATCTTTCAATTGTAGCCACCTATGAACCTCTCCTTAGGTGACTTTGAAGATGAGTCTGACGGAATGAATAGAATTCCTTGGTACTGTGAAGTGCGGGTCTGAAAATATTCAAAACAGCGATTAAAATTATTCAAAACAGAGAGCGTTCGGTCTTGACAGGGGTACAAAGTACAGCCATGACTGTAGTTCATGGGATTCAGAGGCGAACTGTAACAAGCATTTGTAGAAATGAAAAAAATATCCTAAAATATCTGAATTTCGCTTGATACTTTTGTCGTAGAAACACCAGATTATACAAATTAAAACTAAGGAATGCAGGTAATAAATAGGCAAATTAGGAATTCAGGTGAACAAAGAGAGATAAAAAGGGGTTGACCAAGATCCTTTGAATATAATAACACACTTGTTGTTGCGGCTTTTCATGAATTTGAATAAAGCTCAGAACTGTAGCTTAGCGAATTTAGGAAGTATCTCATCAGACAATGTGTGAATGCATTAATTTGATCCATTAGTGGAGAAGTGAACTACTCGTAGGGAAGACTGATTTTGGTGTGAAGTGGAGAAGACAAATACAATCAATAACAATATCAGTATTACACTAAATGCAAATTATCTTTGACTGAATAAATGGTTGTAGACTTACAAGACTTGCTGCACAACACAGGAATACACCCCCGATAATCCCTAATATTGGCTAGAATGAAAAGAAAAATTACCATGTTGGATGAGTGACTGGTACTATTGAAGAATCTCTGGTGAGTGAAATGACAGGTTAATTTTGTTTGGCGAAATTACATGAGAATAGGAATGCATCGATTTTATCTCTGATTCTCGGTAATATATTCCACGTAATCAGTTGTTCAGGAAAGACAACTATGTCCTTTAACTAATGTCACA